GGTGTATAGTTATTCATCCTTAGTCAGTGAATCATTTTTAAAGCGTCTCAATAATAATAAACTTACTCAAAATGCGTGTTTGAGTTGAATGAACAATTAATGATTGAACATTTGGTATAAGTCCATCGAGTAATATATATAAATCGTCGATTGTTTTTAAAATAATTTCCACATGACGAAGATTTTTATGAGATCTTAAAGAATGATATAATGCAAGGCCATGTAATAATTCAATCCTAATTGTATGTAATGATAAGAGCTTTATTTTCATTAACTTATTAATCAAAGAATAATGAAATTAACTTACTTCGATCTTCGTTAAATTTATGAACATTAATATGAAAATATTAAAGTTGTGTTAGATTATCGATATAGTCTCTATCAATTTGTTGAGTTTCACTTGTAGAACAATTGATTAATGTAAAACGTTTCAAATTGATGAATATTGATTGAATAAGATTTTTACGAAAATAATTAAAATATCGTTCTGTTAAACAAGTTATATATTCATTACTTAATATTAGTGATTCAGGTTGAAGAGTATTATTAGAATCATTAAATAATCGATGAATGTAGCCATATTCAGCAAATCGTATTTTATCAAGTTTTATTTTTGTATAATAATCAATTATTAAACGATGTAAACGTGTTTCAAGTTTTTCAGGTGTATAAAACGAATAAAGAACATAAGCTGGTGATAAATAACGACAAATACGAAGTAAAATTTCATTTGGTAGATCTACTAAAGTAGTTTTATTGTTATGAAAATTTTTTAATGATAAGAAAGAATTATCAATATTCTCGTTAATAAGTTTCATATTATTGTTCAAAAAAAACTTTCAAGATGAAATAAACATTGCCTAGAGTATTGTTTTTGATCATTTATTTCTATCTAAATAAATATACAATATTTGAAAGATATTGAATGAAAATAAAAGCATACTTAACCGATTCAGATACATATGATGACCTCACAAGTGAGGATGCCTAACACGGCTAGTCCAGAAAGTCTAATCTGACATGTATCTTCTGAATCTTTCATGACTAGCCATCTTTACATAGTATGTCCGGCAACTACATTCAGACTAGTCCAAAATAAAAAAAAAGGAGACGAACATTAAATTTGAACATTCGACTCAATGATATTTCACACATGACCGATACTTCGATACTAACTAATGATCGACGTTATGTTAAATAATCTAAATAGCAAAATAATATGTCTTCATTGAATATATATTATTTAAAATAATCGAAAAAAGTCTGAAGTATTATTTAAGATAATCGTCACTAATTCATTTTTGAGAGAGTATTGTTGATACATTTCAGACTAATCTAAAATCTAGAAACTATTCATTTAGATTAATCCTTATCGAAAATCTACAAGATGCTCGAAAAGTAACACCCTATTGTACTCTCAAACAACAAAAGATATCGTCACGATTTTTCCACTATTTTGAAGAGTTTGCTATAGCATTTTATTGTAGATGAAACAAGTCGGTTGGTTGTTTGATTCTTTAACGAATGAACCCCACCGACCGATTAAAAATCTTACAGCTCATATCGTGCCAATAAGTAGAGCTCAGGTGTGAGTGTTAATGCTCATTATAAGAATATGCTCACCAAACAGCTATACCCACATTCTATCTTCCAATTCATAAAAAATTTAAAAGAATAATTCTTGATTTTACAAAGACAAAAAAAATATTTCGTTAATTGTTCTTTTATAGTGATGATGAATTGAAAAAAAAACGATTTTCACGTTATTTTGGTGGTGAACCTGGAACTGTTTCATATATATCGTGTTCGTTTATTACTAACAATGGAGGTATTTCTATTGTAACCGAGCTAGACTTGATATTTTACCAACAAATGAAAACTCTCACCGCCACACTAACAAGGTTAAAATATTAGCTGCTATTGGCTTGCCTAGAGAGAGATATTAAGATTTTAAATTTAGCTATAAAAATGAATTAGCAAAGGTTTTTATCCACTATTATAAGGACAAAACACAGTGTTGCGCGAGCCATATGAAAAAGAGACCCTAGAAGCCCCATAATCACCTAAAACAACATTATGTTTTGTCCTTATAATAGTGGATAAAAACTTTTAATGATTCATTTTTATACCAAAATTTAAAATCTTAATATCTCCTTCTAGGCAAGCCAACAGCAGCTAATATTTTAACCTTGTGAGTTTGGTAGTGAGAGTTTTTATTTGACGGCAAAACATCAAGTCTAGCTCAGTTACAATAAAAATATCTCCATTGTAAGAAGAAAAGTTTTTCAAGATGATAATCACCTTGAAACAATTCGATCGTTTATATAAGGAAATTGAAGTAGAAATAAATATTTTTGAAATATATCGGTGAATATTAATTTTGTATGAAGACAATAACATATCACAAACGATATGGTATAAAGATTATAGTAGATGTATGTCTCAAATAGCAGCTGTGTCGTTCATGACGACTATATAAAATGTAATAACAGATTTCGAATACCGGAGTATATACGTAAATTTTTAAAAAATTATATTTTAGTTTATGACTCTTTTGAAATAGTTGTTTGGAAATAAGAAAACCAATAAAAATTATTTTGTACTATAAAGTTTAGTTAACTTAACAAATAAAGTGAAATTTTTATGATTTTTTACATTTTTTAAAATATTGCTCATTACACGTGGCAATCATATATCGAATATTTTTCTTACTATCATTCTCATTTCTCAAGCATTGTCAAAGACATATAAAATGCACAATCATTATTGATTAATTCATATAAAAGAAGTTCGAGCAGCGTCAGCATTTAAAAGTTGAATTTTCTATCAAATTATTGTTTTTTGCTATTACAATTTTCAAAATCTTAAAAATAAAATAAATTGATTTTACTTTGCATTCAATTCATGTGAGGGTGTGGGTGTGTGTGGGTGTGGGTGGGTGTGAGTGTCTGGACAAATGATAACTCTGAGCTAACACCCACCCCACATCAACACCCATACCCCGACACCTAAATCATTGATATTGTAGCATACCTTCGCTCTCAAGGTAAAAATTTCATTTGTAAGGCGGTTTTACATCTAGTAGTTCATCTGCCGCAGTTTATTGAAAACGGCAAACAAATAGGCATATTGATTATAAAAAAGAAAGAGAAATTAAGAATGTAAGAATGTTCACAGAGTGAAAGTAAGAGAAGAATAAAAACAACAATGTAGAAGGTCACTATGATTTAACTGGAAAACGTGTAAAATTAAACACTGTCATATTAGTTATCATAATTTCAAGGGTTATTCACGCTTGCTTAATCAGTTTAGTTGTCGAATAGGTCTTCCAGCCATCTTTGAAATGAATATCAACATTAATAAAGTCATTTTTATTGATCAATTGTACGTCTTTTGATACTAAAAAATCAAATATATTCGTCATAAATATATTCATTTCATTTTTGGAGATTACAATAGATCGTATGAGAGCTGTCAATAGACAATGTCGAAAAGCAAATTCGAAGGGACATAGATGAAAACAAATCTCTTTAATTATGTTAATGTTTTCCTTATTTTTAGTGATTCGAATCCATGTTTCACCAAAACTAAATTGGTCTTCGCAACCTATAGAAATTCCATTCGAGAGAGGAAATTCTTTTGCTACACTATTTAATTGACTTTCATCAATCAAATACTCATGAGTAAATTGACGACGATCTAATGAAAACATCGGTACCGATGTAAATGGCCAACCCTCATGAGCGAATAATAAACTGAAAAGATAACCGTCTATTATCATTGTCGCAATACTCATTATGAGTAAATCAAAAGAACTAGTATTTGTATTGGTTTGGTGTAATCTTGTGAAAAATGGAACATAGATAAGCATTAGATAACAGATACACTGTGGGACATAGTTTGGACCAAGTAGAACGAAAATACCCAGATGAAAAAGCCATGCCAGAATGACAATTGCAAGACGAGTCGATGCAAAAAATACTCCGAAAATTGAAGTTAATTCAATGAGTAATGAACTGATTGCCATAACCATCACAATCATTGGATACTGAATAATATATCGTCTAATAGTGTTGCGGACTTTTGATAGGACAGTAAAATCGTTCAACGTCGGATCAGATAAATAAAAAGTCAGTGTACCAGGAAGTACCCAACGAATACCAGACTTTCGAATTTTACTAATTCCAGCGGCGAATAATGTATACAGCGAAACACATTGAATAAATTTAGATGCGAATCCAATATCAAAAACTGCGTGACTAGGTTCAAGATTATAATGATAGTTCGTCTAATGACTTATCAGATGATCAACGCTGCATGTTTTGAATTTAGTGAATATTAACGCCAGTAATGTCCATGTAGGAACATACCAACGATGACGAACACCTATTTTTCCAATCCCGATTACTGTTGTCGACAAAATGAAAACTAAGATACCTGTAATGAGTCTTGTAATAACACCTCCAAAACCTATTATACAGCAGACCCATGATATTTTTGTTATTAGAACAAGTATTTCCAAACATTCATAGCTGTGTAAAATCAAAAAATATTGAGAAAATTTATTTTTAATACACCAAAATAACGGATGTATTTGCTGTAATAGTAAATGAGCTTGTAATGAAGTATCACCGGTTGGTGGTGCTGTTATTTTTCCCATGAAACAGTCAAATAATAAATAAGTATAAATCACAATTCGAATAAAATCAGAGATTATAGGACCATCACATAGGAAGAAACTAACAATTAGCTTCATTGATCTGGCGACGAACTTCTGTAATGAATAAAAATGAAAAATGTTAGCACTTTTATAAGTTACATACTTTCTCATGTCTCGAATCGTTAGGAATATGTACTTCCTTTGACTTCCTGACTAATGTTTACTCAAAGCTGTTCCTCGCTGACTCACTGTTTGCTTTCTTAGAAAAACGATTTTCATGCACTTCATATATCAATTAATGGTCACTCTCGCTGAAATTTTCAATGGAACGTGGGGGGTGGATGAGGGTGAGGAAGGTTCTGTTGTAGGATAGTTTGATCTGTCAAACAGAATCAAGTAATTTTGAATTCTTGAGTTCTTCCTAATTCTTTTTTGAGTACGGGAAGCTAACCTAATTCAAAGACTTTGTTGATCTTCTGCCAATAGTGATATTTCGCTGCATTTTATTCTTGTTGTAAATTCACTATAGATCTTCCTAGTTATTACTACGCATTCTTTTTTATTTGCATTGTAATCTAATACTGAACTGTATTCATGCTGATCCAGTACCATTTACGGTTGCTTCGATCTAAAGCTTTTTTAAAACCCAACCGAATATCATTAGAATAGCTGGTATTTTCTAGAATGAAACTAATTTTAAAGCGAGATACTATTTTACTCATGAAGTCTTGCGGAAAGTATATTGATTCACATGAATTATCTATTGTGTGATTATTTAAATTGAATAGATATAAAATTATTTACGACTGAATCACGTATCAGGAAGAATGCAGATATTGGCTGTACAGTTTTATGAATCTATTTCATATCACGAAGAGTTTTTTTTAAAGAAAATGACAACAAATGGAAAATTTGATAGAAAGAAATGTATTATTGACAAATCAACTTCATTTTTTTATACAATTGTTTTAACTCGTGCATGTATAGATCATTTTTATTCCTTTTTTACTTAATTAGATCTTTTTGCAAATAATGGTTTATAATAACGACTAAATTAACTGATCTATTTTTTTATGAATGAATTTTGTACGAATAAATGATAAGTAACAATAATCAATGTATTGTCGTAACAAAACCTCAATGTTTTCATCGAAATATTAGGCAATCATTTTACCATTTTTTACGAATTCATAGAAAATGGATTCTGTTTTTTTCGATTTTTTTGAAATTTCAATAAGAACATCCGATTTCTATCTTTTCCTTTTGGTAACCCTGCTTTGTTGGTTAGAGAACCACATACACCTATATCAATACTCATGACCACACCCACATTTGCTCAAAAAAGCTGGATGCTTTTTTCTCTCAATACAAAAAAAAACATAATTTATGTCTCATGTGCATACATTTTTTTTCATCCTATATTTATTTTTCTTTCATACATAAGTCTAATGTGAAAGAGAATAATCACAAGTGCATACTTTAACGTTTGAATAAATGCTTGGAAGAAACAAACCTTTTCATATGGCTAGTACATTTCTACTTCCACTTTTTGAATTAAGTCTTGTAGTAAACGACGCTTCATGAAATTCTTTATAAGATGGCGTAATTGCCTGAACTAAGTAAAATATATTTTTTCGGTTGTAATGCAATGTCATAAACATTTGCCTAAAAGAATTAATGCTTTCAAAATAGTCTCTCTTCGTTTTTTTACGAGACTGTTGCTTTGATAAGCAGAACTAGTTTTTCTAAGATTTCATGTTAATATATCTAATGTATTAATTCATTGCAATTGTACAACACGTTGTAATTCCTCATTTCCACCTGATTAATATAGCATATATCATAGATTAACATGAAATCTTAGAAAAATTAGTTGTATTTATCAAAGTAACAGTCTCGTGAAGGATGTGGGTGTGGCTGGGGTATGCGTCTTCTTATCATGCGCAGCGACAATCCACATCCACACCCACACAAACACCCACCCCGACACCTACACCCATACTCACATACCCATATCTACACCCATAATATTTAGTCAAAATAACAAACAATGTAACAGTAATACTACAATATACTATTCCTTGGATCTTTTCATAGACAGGGTTTTCGAAGAAAAACGTTTTACCATTCAATTAAATATCTTCTCTTCTATCAATCTATATATTAATAACGTTTTTACAAGGATTTGTGTAAGCGAAACGGCATAGGTAGAAAAAATGATTTCTATAAAAGAGTCCCATATTGTTTATATTTTTTGACATAGTGATGCAAGATATTTGCTCTCATACTTCATTTACGAGCACGTGTGAGAATGGTAGATTTTTTTTAATCGGCTAATAGAAAACTTTTTGCTCTTTTGAACTGTACGTAACTCATTACTATCAAACATTTTAGAAGAATATGACGCAAGAAGAAAGAGAAGTACTAGCTCAACGAATTTGTAATTTTTATATCAATTCATCACATAAATCTCGAAAAACAATAGTGAAATACTCTATAAAACAAGGTTTTCCAAGGCATGCAAATATGGAACAACAAAATTTTTATTAAAAAGTGATCGTTCATAAAACACTCAAATCAAAAATTAAATAAATTAATATATAAGTTGAAAAAATGTATAAATACCATCTAAATTTTTTATGAAATAATACTCGTTTGGATTTCGACACTTGGAAGAATCTAATTAGTATGTGTATATCATTCTCAAAAATGTACGAGAGTAGATTTGGATATGGATGAAAGCTCTCTAGTTATTGTTTTTTTTTGTATCACTTTTGTTAAGTCAGTATGGAGAAATCTTGGTTTTGATTCATATTACGCTGAATGATTTTTACATCGATAAATCATTCAATGGATCGTACAATATCAAATATTGTTCTCAAATCAATGTATATGGAACATATTTTTCTTACTGTTAACTATCGAAATTTGATTTGTCCTTCATTATTTAATCAATCCGTGACAAATAAGTGTGTTTTTATTTTTAACTGATATGATATTCAATTTTTTCCTATTTGAAATGAGTTTTTCAATGAGTCTATGGTGTCATCCATTATTGACTCACATCACCATGAAATAGTTAATTTAGAGATTGAACGAAGAATTCAAAAGTGCTTTTGATTGTTGTTTATATTTGAAGATGTTATTGTATAGTATTGATCATGATTGAAAAAGTAATATTTAATTCTTCACTAAGTAAAAAAATGATCAAATAAAGATCCGAATTTATTACAATACAGTTTAAGACATTTGTTTATAAAAATATAATACTAATCTAGAGTTTTATTGAATTTTGATTATTCCTTGTCTCAATTTCTATGTTAAAAAATGTCGTTTTTCAATAAAATAAGGCACATTTATTAGTTTTCCTTCAGTATATCATAATCGGATCATTGGCTTCGACAGCTATTTTTACAATCAAAGTTTTTTCTGAATATTTCATAGTGTAACATAGAGACGTCTACTAGAAACAGTACATATCTTTTGAGTTTTTTAGTGTATGACCGAAACAATAGAATCTATCGATTTAAAATGAATCTAAAAGAACATGAAACAGAAAGTTTTTTCTAAAAGATTTGTTATTTCTTACACCTGATTTTTCTTTATGAAAAAAACTTTTGTCGGATATAATATTGATATGCAACGTAAATTATTCTAATTATCGCTTATACGGTTCTTTAGAAGGCTGTATCAATAGTTTGGATGCCATGGATAAGAAGTGAATTCGATCGGCATCTAAAACACTTTTTTTTTTTATTTCTTCAATTGTCTTTATAGAGTAAAATGTGAGAAACCATTTTTTAATTTTTCTTGTTCACTGTTTATTATGTTTTCTTTGTGAAAGAATCAGTAAAAAAAAGAACAAAATTGTTTTCATAACTAAAAGATCCTGATGTATTTTCGTGTAAAGTCAGGCATTGAATATGAATAGATTCTGTGTTGTTCAATGTTATTGTTATCAATTACCAAACAGCACATTTGGAATTTTGACTATTGTTTTGCCCAGGTGAACATTTAAATGCCCGATCGAATTCGTCAAAGTTTGATGTTGGACCACGAACTCTACAACAGCATGATCAGAATTTTGAATTTGATGAAATGTGTATCATTGAAATCGAATTATGAAATGTTTACTACATCTTTATTTAGAGAAGATTCTTTCCACAATATGAACTTTGATCATCGAATTTTAAAAACTGATTTCTCAAGTCTTGTTGTTCAAGAGATCTTGTACTCAAATGTTTTCTTCTAATTTAATAAGTACTCTTTCGGATACGAAATTCTGTTATCTATTGATTTTCTTATGTTTTCTATCATAAATAGAATATACCTGAATTCTTCCGGTGAATGAACACCTGTTAAAATTCTATTCAATGCATTAGCATTAGTCATTTTTGAACACCAAATCTGTCCATAATTAATAAAAAACATTTGTTCTGCTGAATACTCAGATAGACCAGGTAATTTTTTATCTTCATTTGGATGCGTTCGAATCCAGTTTTGATAAGCCTATAAATATATAGACACATATATACGTGTATGCGCATAAATGCTATTTAAAAACAATCTTTTTGTTTACCGACAATCATCAATCGCATAATCATGTTAGTGTGTTATTTTAGATCTATTGTACATGAGAAAAACTTGTTTATTTCAATAGTTTGTTAAGTTAGGTAGACTTTTTAAAATTTTTTTCCAATGATACTTTGCTTTTACTTCAGTTTTTCTAAATAAATTTAAAATAAAACTTACATAAAATGATTCTTTTATTCCACCATTATCAGCAATATTTTCACCTTGTGTTTGAAATCCATTCAACTAAAGTTAAGAAAAGAAAAGCAAACGTCAAATGTACGAAAACAGTTTCTTTTAAACATTACGGTCCTATTAATTTGAGTTACAACATAGTTACTATATTGATCGATTATACATTGCTTACGTTCATTAAATTTTTTAATAGTATCATCAGTCCACCAAGAAATACGATTTCCATCTTTATCATATTGACGACCACTATCATCAAAACCATGAGTAATTTCATGACCAATAACCATTCCGATAGCTAAAATCTCATTTAGCATGATATTATTTTACTTTATTGAAACTTACCACCATAATTCAAATATCTAAAAATCATAAATAAATAATTCTAGTTTCATTTTAAAAGAGATATGAACAAAACAAAACTGACTTTGGTGCATCTTTATTGAAAAATGGCATTTGTAGAATACCAGCTGGAAAAACTAAACATAGAGAAAATTATTTTTTAATTTTTTATAAAAAAACTTTAGCAACAAAGCCTGATTACATAATGATCAACGAAATACGTTTTCGTATTAAATAGTATTGATCTGATTATGAGGCTTTGATTACTAAGTTCCTCACATTTTTGAATTGAAATCCTTCAGTGAGATATACATAAGAGAAGGAAATACTAATAAAGGGATCTCTTGAAAAAATCAATAAGGTCAATTACTGTAAGAAAAATCTTTAAAAATACACTGTGTATAGATACGGTTATTCCAAGAGATGGCACAAGAATTTGTTGAACTACAAATATTTCACAATCCTTACCTTTACTAGTAATCAAATGTCTTGATTTCCTATCAAATAATATGTGATATCTAAATTGTTAGTCGATTTTCTATTATAGTATATCCATAGTTATATTATTCTCAACTATTTAATTTTGATGCATCCTGGAATAATGCATCAAAGATACACTACATAACATGAAGAAAATATTTTATTTGACTATCGCATTCTTATTTGAAAACAAAACAAAAATTCTATTTACTGATTTGGTTTCTTGGTGGACTGTAAAAAGCGTTGACTATAGTTGGGGGACTAGTACCCCATGCTTTACGATCAACAAGTTCACGAAGCATTCGAAGATTTTCATTGGCTTTTATTTTTAATAATTTTAAAACATTACTTATATATGATTCATTGAAAACATACTAAAACAAAAATATGAAAGATTAGAAAATATCATTATTCTTTACCTCTTGATACATTTTTTCGAGTTGTGTTGTATTATTACTGCCTAAAAAATCTGGATAACCAATTTTTTCATCAATAACCAATGCCTTCAAATATAATCAAAGTTATGAAAGAGTTTATTTTTCAATTTACTTTTTCTATTGATTTATTTTTTGAAATTTCATCCATCCAAGATGAATTTTTCAGCATACCAAGAAAAGAGTTTCGAATATTATTGATCATTTCTAATGACTAAAATTTAAAAAAAAAATCAACGAATGAATTTCGTATTATGGAATAGAAATCTAGAACTGTTCATTTCTA